TAAATACTTTTTTTTTTTTTTTTTTGCTTTAAATAAGGAGGGAGACAAACCTGAGGGTGAAGAGCATTCCATCTTCAGACTGTCTTCCGTTCCTAGAAAGTAACCAACAGATTAAAATACATTTTCCATTTAAAAAACAAATACTCCCATGAGACACTACTTCTCACCTGCTAGGATGGCTGCAATCAGATGGACAAGAATCATAACCAGCGTGGGCACGGATGAGGAGAAAGAAAACAGCCATGCGTGGCTGGCAGGGACATCACATGATGCAGCCACTTTGGAAAAGTCTGGCAGTTCCTAAGAATGTCTAATATAAAGGTTATCATGTGACCCAGCAGTTTCACTCATTAGGTATAAACCCAGGAGAAATGAAAACACGTGCAAACAAAAACTTTTATGAGGATTTTCATAGCAGCATTATTCCAAACAGCCAGAGAGTGAAAACAACCCAAATGCCCGTCAGTTGAAGAATGAATGAATGAATGAATGAATGAATAGAATTAGGGCATCCCCACACAGTGGAACATTATCTAGTAGTAAAAGGAATGAAGTGCTGGTGCTACAACATAGGAAAACCTTGAAAACACTTTGCTAAGTGAAGGAAGCCAGTCACAAAAGATCACGTAATGCATGATGCCATTTATGTGAAGCGTTCGGAGTAGGCAAATCCATGGAGACAGAAAGTGGATTCATGATTGCCCAGAACTGGGTGGGGTTTGAATACTAATGGATACGGTGTCTTCTTGGCATGATGAAAATATTCTAAACTTAGTGATGATGGTTACAGCAGGTCTGCAAATACCCTAAACCACTGATTCATAGGCTTAGACGGGTGAGTTTTAGAGTATATGAATTACACTTCAGTAAAGATGTTAAAATGCCAAATTACACCCCAAACCCCCCCCCCCCCCCCCCGCCCCCCACACACACACTCCCACTCAGTGCACTGTGGTATGTATCCTGGTTTTGATCCTGGAACAGAAAAGAACGTTAATGGAAACAGAAATAGAATCCAAATCAAGTCCAGGATTTAGTTAATGGTAATGTACCAATGTTGGTGTCTTACTGTTGATGAAGGCACCAGGGTTTCATAGGATGTTAACATTGGAGATACTGGTGAGAGAGGGTACATGAGAACTCTGGGCTATATTTGTAACTTTTCTGTCAACTTAAAGTTACTACGAAATAGAAGGCTTTCCAGAATCAATTGTAAAAACCAAAAAGTAACTTGTAAAAAAAATTTGGGAAACAACAGAAAAGTTAAAATAAATATTGTCTCTCTGTGTTCATTCAGGCATAATCATTCAATGAAAAAACTGAATCAGATTAAGGTTTTTCACCACATAGGTGTGATCATATCAAGAGACTTCTGCCTGCCCCTGTGTTTAAGTGTTTTTGATACTAACTAATATATACTACTTGTCAAAACTGTGATAGGTCTGAGATTTTACCCTACTCTCAAGCTCCCAAGTTAGTCTGACAGTTTCATGGCTGCTGCCTGAAGTCACAGGGCTTCCTGGGTCAGAGGCAAAGGGGTTTATTACTCATTGCACAAAAAGCACCATGAGCATCAGTTTCTTGTTGGTTCCTCTTGCTTCCCAAGTTCCCCAGGGACAGCCCAGAGGGGGTCCCAGGTGGATGCTATGTCACGGCCAAGAAACCCCACTCTTAGGAAACTTCAGTCCTTATAATGGGCAGTGAGCCTGCCTGATCTTTGCCCTTGACTGAGACATTGTCTTTGTTATGCTGACAGTAGACAGACCTGCCCTTTGCTTCAGAAACAAACAATATCTCTATCTTCCAGAGTTGTTTGATACACACATTTTTGAAAAGATAATTTAGAACAAAAGGACAATCAATGCCTTTGCTCACAAGACATGGAGAGATAGGAGAGACCCATGAAGAATGTTCTTCCAACATTAACATGTTCTCACCACTGTTACTTCAGAAATTAGTGTATTCAGTTAGAGATTTGATTTCGTCTTAATTTCATTGTTTCAGTATTTATTACATTATTTTAAATAAATATTTTAATATTTTATTTTTATTAAAACACGATTTTAAATAAACATGTTGTTTATATTATATACTATTACTATATCATGAACTGCTTATGTATATTATGTTATTTTACAAATTGTTTAACTTACTTTTTATAACATGCAAACCTAAAAAAGGACATGAAAAGTATAGTCAGTCCCTTACATATTGAAGGCAAAGAATGTCCAGTTTACTCAGTGGCCACGGAGTTGAAAAGGCAATGAAAAATATTCTGAGATGTAGAGTTTTAGCAAAGTCTCCTAAAATGTCGGCTGAAGTTAGTGAAGGTCACAGAAGGAGAACACAATGTCATGACAATTCAGAGCAGCGTATTCTTCACTACTTTAAAGGATCTTCTCAGCTTTTTTGCTTCTGTTAATTATTCAAATTTGTGCCGTATTCCTGCAATGTTTTCCTATTTGGGGAATAAAAGGAGGAAAAGCAATTTTTTTTTTTTCTCTTTCAGCCTCAAAATGTAGCTTTCTACTGAAGTATAGTAGTTCTGGACTCTTGTTTCTACTGTTAGCAGAGAAACATTTCACTCTGGTGAAATTTGGCTCATTTCAAATGAGATGTAGTTTTCAGTAAAGAAATCCTGCTCTGAATGAATGATTTTTTTTTTTTTTTTTTTTTTTTTTAAGAAAATTTGCTGTTTGATTTCTTTGAAAGGTATGGGTAGGGTTTGTTAAAGTTACTGAATTTGAGGTTACTTCCTTATTGGGCACACTCAAATTACATTTTAAAGGGCCTACTTTGCATAATCCCAGGGAACCAGCAGAAGATCGGTTTCCATTCAGATCACTCTGAAATTTTTGGCATGGGTTTGTAACATACCAGGAACCAAAACATGCATGGCCCCTGGTCCCTGCCTCCTGTCCTCTCCCTAACGGTGAGATAGTCAAAAGGAGCAAATGATTTGCTGTTTTGTTTCATGTAGATCTAGGTTTGCAAGAAGCGTATTAATTCCTTGCGTTTCTTGTTGGTCAAACAGTTGGTTTGACAGAACGTCCTGGAGCTTTCTGCCTTATCCCATGTGGCATATTTGATGATACTGTTCTCTCATCCCTTCGTGGGATGAACTTGGCCATGACAGCTTGACCTTTTTTCTACGTTGCTGGATTCGGTATCTTAATATTTGTTCAGGATTTTGCATCTCTGTTCCTAAGGGATACTGATGTACGTTTTCTTATAATATCTTTGTCTAGTTTTGGAGGCAGTGTGATGCTGGACTCATAGAAACAAGCTGTATATAGTTCCTGCCTCCTGTATTTTGTAGAAGAGTTTGTGTAGAGTTGGCATTATTTCTTCCTTCAGTGTTTGGTGGCATTCACCACTGAAACCATCTGGGCCTGAAGATTTCATTATAGGAAGGTTTTTAACTAAATTCAATGTCTTTAAAAGAATAAGGGTATTCAGATTATCTTCTTGAGCGAATTTTGGTAGTTTGTGCCCTCCATGAAATGTTTCCATTTCATCTGACTTGTGAATCTGTTACAGTAATGTTGTGCATAATATCCCTTTGTTATCCTTTCAGTATCTGTTGGAACTGTGATGATGACTTCTTTAATTCCTGATACTGGCAGTTTGTAACTTTTGGTCTTGGTCAGTCTAGCTAGAGCTTTACTGATATAGGGAACCAGGTTATGGTTTCATTGACTTTATTTTTTGTTTTCCATTTCATTGAGACCTGTTTTTCTAGTTTCTTAGAAGCTTAGATCTTTGATTTGAGACCTCTCTTTTCTAATATAGGCACTTAATGTTATAAATTTTGCTCTAAATCCTGTTTTAGCTGTATCTCACAAATTTTTATATGCGATGTTTGAATTTTTCAGTTGGAGATGTTTTCTAATATTTAATATATAATAATTCCTAAAGATCTCTTCTTTGATTCATGGATTTTTTAACAGTTTTTTGTGTGTGTTTTTGTCTTGTTTTGTTTTTTAAATCTTTGCGGTTTTTCCAGGTAACTTCTCATTTTGGTTTCTGATTTGATACTCTTGTGGACAGAGCGCATATGTAGTATGATTTTAATCTTCAATTTGAGATTTCTCTTATGCCACTGAATATGGTCTGTTGTGGTGAACATTCCGTGTGTACTTGAGATGTGAGTCCTGCTGCCTTTGGGTGAATTGCTCTGCATTTGTTGGTTAGCTCAAACTGCTTGGTAACGTTTTTCAAGTTTTCTGTATCTTTGTTGATTTTGTGTTTACTTCTTTATCAGTTACGGGGGAGACGACTTTTGAAATCTGTCACGGTAATTTCATACTATCTTAAATGTAATGAAAGTAGATGGTTATGATGTTAATAAGATGGCTGAGCGTTGTAAAGGCTAAGTTTTTTTAAAAAAAATATTTTAAGGGAGTCTTCTCTTCTTAAAATGCTTTAGATTCATGTAGACTTGTATTCCATCGCCAGTGCTGTCATAATGATCTCAGCAACTCCGCTGAGCCTAGTTACTCTTTGGGTACAGATAATACAGACTTCTCGCAGCTCTTGTGGGGATTTAGATAATGTACATAGAATCCTAACCTGATACCCAGTGGATAGTAAATCTTGAAGAAACAGAAGTTATTTTTGTGTTTTTAACTTGTAAATGAAGAGATCAAATATGTATTGTAATCTGCGATGCATTTCGTGTTACTCATCATTATCACTGTGTTACATATTAAATGTATTATTCTTATATTATTTCACCCTCGGCCGGCACCAGGCCTTCCTCCTTGTGTGTCTTTTTCCTGTTGCTTTTACTGACGGTCTCCTTAGAGCCTTAGTGGAGTAGGGCATGCCTTGATTGTGTTGTGAAAGGGGTTTTTTTTTCCTTCCTATAATTTTACCTACTGTATCATAAAGTATTAAAAAAGTAGGAGTGTTGGTACAGTAGATATGTTTGCAGCAGCCATCACATCATCCCACATTGCTTCACTATCTGAACGTCGATCTGTTTCTCTTTCCTTCAGATAAACCGGGAAAGCTGGTGTACAATACAGCCGTGCCCTGATGCAGCGTCTCTCTTGGCTCCCACACAGAGCCCAGGTGAGCCGGGGTTTTCCAGCTTCCAGTTGCGTGAATAACTGTATCTAAAAACGTCCATTTCCTAGCTCTGGAGCCCCCCTCTAATTACCAGAGCGTTTTTGGAGGTCTGTCTTTCCCGACCAGGCCATACAGTAAGTCAGAAGAAGGGGGTAAGAGCAGTTTGGGTTCGTAGGCGTTTTTGGCCCCCCGAGAATGAGTAGTGTCATGTAATTACTTAAGTTTCGTTTTAGTGGTAAGTCTTCACGTGTGGCTTTATGACTTACTGATTCTGTGAAGGCGTCTCTGCTGTGTGCGTACATATGATTGTGGTTTCTCAATCCGATAACAGCTGTAAATACTTATTAAGAACTAAACTGGAGAGCCCTCAGTTTTAGCTGCGCATTGAAATTCTCTGGGGGGCTTTAGGAATACACTGCTGCCCGGGTCCCGCTCCCAGACGTCCTGATTTAGTTGGGCCTGGGGTGTGAGCCGGGCCTCAGAAGCTTTGAAAGCTCCCTTGGCGAGTCCACTGCGCAGCCAGGGTCGAGAACCATCAGCTTTGGAAGTACCGTCGGCAGTTGAGGTATCAGTCACAGCAGGTGAGGGTCAGCTGCCGACACCTGGCTTGTTCGTGACACAGCGCGTGGCTTGTGGTAGGAGGCCCCACCTTCTACCCAGTGTAGCCACTAATTCACAGTGAAGAGAGGAATGTTGCCCAGTGTCTGTGCTCCCTGTGGTCTCCCATCTGTACAGCACTGCTAGCTTTCCTCAGTGGGTGGTGTTGAAGGACGTGGCGCCTCTACGTCAGTCCCTGTGCCTGTTGCGGAGCTGCCACGTGAACGTCATTTGGTCTCCTGAGTCGACAGCACCTTTGTTTACCTTCACAAGTTTTACTGACCTGCTGTAAAACTTACCGAGTCCCCATCAACTGGTCTTTGTAGAAACAGTTTAGCTGGGGGTGTCTCGCATAGTACTAAATTGAAAGGCACACCGTCCACATCCTAGGTCTCCCAAGAGTTTTCCTCCGGATTCTCAGCTCTGACTTCACTCCAAAGGAAATGTTGGAGACAAATACGAAAAGTGTTTTTTCTCCAGTTTTGTCTCAGATGGTCGTGTTCAGAGTCCCTGCCTGTTACAAGATTGACCCTATTCACAGACTTAGCTGACACTTCCCTCGCCCAGCCCCCCTAGAATCTTGTACTTAAAAGTATACTACTCACCATATCTTGGGCTGTTGTGGGCATTTTCCAGAAGTGTCATTACTCCCAACCGTCCAAACAGCAGAGCTCTCTGCCGTGGAAGGGTTAAATGAGGCTGTCTGACAACTTGAGTGTTCACAAGGGGTTTCTTCACACACTAGAGTTTAATTTGTTCATTTAAAGAAATGAATTTTGAACCCCTGAGCATTTTTCCCAGGACATCATCTTGAATTTTATTGACTCTCCCTGCCCCCCGCCCCACCACACAAACACACTTGGCCTTCTTAGACACTTCTTGACTTCTTAGAGTCTTTTTAAATCTCACTGTAGCAAAATCTGAGATCTGGATTGTGCTTTGGAACTTCAGACCTGAGGTTTTGATTTTAGGTAAATTGTTTGGTGAATTCTGGGTATTTTGGATCTTAGAGATTTCCTTTACTTTATAAACACAGTTCAAGAGATCAATAGTGTAAAAACCAAAGAAGATAATATGTTTTAAAATCACTTTGGATATTCTTCAACTCTGGATAAATACAAATTTATTTAACTACGAATAAATACAAATGCATTACGATTAGCATGGTTCAGCAAATGCGAGCGGGCGCTGCTGGTAGGCTTTCCTCCCTTTCCCTACTGTAATTTGTTTGCCTATATATAATTTTAAACCCACATGAGTAGGGAGCATCTTAAAAATGACACGTTTTGCTAGCTTTTAAAGAAGCTAATGTCTCGGGACACAGAAGTTTATGGGCAGAATTATGTATGAGTCATAAAATAGGACTGGCTCACCTCAAGGTAATGTCCGTCCTGGATGCTTGTTACATCACTCAGTATGGGTTAGTGAAGCCTTAACTTCATTAGGTGTGTTTATCACAGGCCTGCTGGGTGCTGAGGGGCAGAGTCGTGGCTACTATTTGTATAAATTATTTCTAACTGTCACCACAGCTATTTGAGGGAGGTACAGTCATCCCATTTGATTGGTATGGCAGTGGAGACTTAAGGGGTTAAATGACTTCTTGCCTGGGATTTTTGTACTAAAGGTAAGCAGACCTGGCTCTAAGGCAGATAGATGTGACCCTCAAACCAGCCAGTGTTTATTGTTCTTGCGTATACCTTCACGTGTTACTACTCCACGTTATTCGTTAGGAGAGGGCGTGTGAGAAGACATATGACACAGGGGGTAGATTGGCTTTGCCTTTAGGGTCCCCCTCTGTTTGTGGGGTTGCATAATGGCTTATGGTCATTTTCTCCCCCTAATCCCTTGTTTTCATACCCTTCCCCACCTCACTCCCCCAACTCAACAGTCAGGATTGTATCACACAGCAGAGTCTTATCCCAGCTCGATTTGTGCTCCCTTGTAGTGCTGGCTCGGATTTATTTTCTGGGTGAACTCTTCCTACCAGGGCCGAATCTGGATATTCCCCGTGAATTTTCCATTAGAGTGTCTCAAGTTGGTTTGTTTTCCAGTCTGGAATGTGGACGTGGTCTATTTGACTGCCCGCTGGAGAGTCGGCAGCTCAGCATAGTTGCTGTGACAGCCCTTTCTTTTCTTGGCCAGCCCCCTGGTTTCCCCTCAACCATGAAGTGGAGTTTTTGATTTTTCCAAGTGGGGAAAGAGGGAGAAGTAGAAAGGTGACACCCACCTACTCCACCTAAGCTTGTCCATACTCTCCAAAATGGGGGGGGGGGGAGGGGGGGTTGGGTCGAGAATACCCATGATTCCAAGTCTTGTAGAGACAGAGCCTATTCCCACTGAACTAAAGACTCAGAAATAGCTTGGACCAAGATTGAAATGGATTAAGGTCAGTTTTTTTCTTCAACTGAAACATTCTGAGATTTATCTGTGGATCCTGTAGCATCATTTGTGTATTTCTGTGTTGAAATTGTCTTCCTAATATGTCCGTTTCTACTACAAAGTTGCATACTATCCCCCTACCACCACCGTGCAGGCGCGCGCGCGCGCTCTCTCTCTCTCTCTCTCTCTAAATGTCTCTTTTTATTTGGATAATCCTCAGTACCTAGTCAAATGCCTTACTAGGAGAAAAGGTAATTTTAATCACCAGTTTGTGACCTATATTCCAGTGTGTTGCTCCTTTGACCCTTCCTCTAAGATTCCCAGCTAATTCAGGGCAAATAATTTATTAATGATCAATAATTAGCTAATTGAGATAAGAATAAACATCCTCTTCTCGTTATCCCTCAGCATACATACACATACAATTATTGTCCCAACATGGACTCTGAGAATTAAGAGAGACACTGGGGGTTATCTGATGTCCCATTTCCTTTCTATGTGTACATCTTTTCTGAAACCTCTTGACAAAGTCATTCAGCCTTTGTGCCACCCCTTCTGGTGGAGTGACAGTCATTACTTTATGAAGCTGCTAACCCATTGCCCAGAAGCCTAGAGTTAAAGCTCTGTGGCTTCCACTCAGTGGGCTTTTTGTTCTACCTCTGGAACAGCAAAGAACAGATCTGCAACTGCCCTCAGACTCATTTTTTCCAGCTCCTGTGCAAGCCACATGTATATCAAGGGTTTCCACTGGTGTGACCTCATTACCATGTGTGCATTTCTATCAGTGTTTTTTATTTTTATTTTTTTTAGAGAGAGCTCATGAGTGGAGAGGGAGAGGAGAGAGAGAATCCCAAGCAGGCTCAGTGCTCAGCCCGGGGCCTGATGCAGGGCTCAATCCCATGAACCTGGGATCATGACCCAAAATGAAATCAAGAGCCAGACACCCAACACTCAGTGACCCAGGCTACTTGTTGCCCTCTTCTTATCTAAATGTTATTCAGACATGCATGCCTGGGTGGCTCAATGTTGGCACCCGGCTTCAGCTCAGGTCATGATCTCTCCCCTGCATATTGAGCTTGGAGCTTTCTCCCCACGACTCTGTGCTGATAGCTCAGAGCCTGGAGCCTGCTTCAGATCCTGTGTCTCCCTCCCTTCTCCCCCCCCCCCCCGCCGTCCTCCCCATGCGTTGTTCTCTCTCTCAAAAATAAACATACATTAGAAAATAAATAAAAATAAATGTTACCTAGAAACAAACAATCCTGTCGGTGAGTTCTAGCCGTCACATAGTGGCAGGACTGTTTTCCATTTTGGACTTGGGTATACTGTCTGTTCATAGAGTCTAAAACCGTTGTGGTTTGTTTTTGGTTTTGCTTTCACCTTGTATTGTCAACTCCTCTTGAATCTGCCTCCAACCAAAACCTCCAGGTAGCGTTCTCATGAACTGCTAGGTAGTCAGCTCGTCTACTATGTCCCTCATCAGCTAGTATCAGCTGCAGGGTTGATACGTGTCTGACTGAATCACACAGAAAAGTGCTAACCACAATGGAGATACCACACTCTCCAGACTACTTAAAGGAGGTTGATACCTACCTATTAATTGACTTTCTTTTGGGCTTTTGGTTTTACCACATACATATGTGTTTAATTCTGTTGCTACCAGGTCATATTTTGTTTACAGAATTAATAGGAGAGAATGGGTTAAATACCTTGCTAATTTCAATGTACTAAGTCTTGAGAATTCCTTGAGAGACAGTATAATATTTCTGTCAGGGCCTCCTCCCTCTGGTTTACCAGAGTCCCTGTGCTAATTATTGAACTGAAGACAGATTCTACATGATACATTTTTCTTCATTAGTATATTTCCCCTCTCCCCAGTGTCATCTGTTTAAGGTAGAAAAATAATTATATTTCTTTTCTTACTCAACAGAACCCATAAGTGTAATACGCTGATATTTATGTTAGATATGCTCCCCCTTTGTCTTTTATCCCAATATTTGATAAATAACAAGTTTCCAGAAAGAACTTAATCTTAGAAATTGGCCATAAACCCTACCTCATAGTTTCCTAATAAAGGACTTCTGATTTTGATAGCGAAAGAAAATACTCTCTAATTACCAAAAGGAAAAGATTGCCACTTAAATATCTAATACAGATGGAATTATGGTTCTAAATTACCATTTTATCTTTTCGTACCTTTTGTTTACATGGGAAATTCATGGTTGTCCTGTAGTAATGATCACCCTAGAATTGGAATAACCAGAGTTGAAAGCTACTAATTTGTGTCCTTTACAGCTTCTTACTACTGGGGGAACAGAGAGGTTAGTTGGTTGACTTAAAAGGCTACTTGCTGGAATGAAAAGAAAATAAAAATTTTTTTTTTTTTTTTACGTATTGGTTGAATACATTTTCTATTCAGGATGTGACAGCTTCCTGGATGTTGGACTGGCCAGAGAGTGTGCCTCAAAACCAGGTGTGCTCAAACGAGAATCCGGAAGTGACTCTGACCTCTTTCAGTCACCCAGCGAAGAAGTGGACAGCATCATCTTCTCCAAGGTACTGTCTGCCTCGGTGTGCAACTCGTGCTGGTCGCTAGTGACCCTGCTGACCGTACTGAGCGTCTCCCCCACTCTGTATGATCATAGAAAAGTGTTATGTCCTCCCTTCTGGAGAAGGGAGCTCCAGCTTTCTGGGGCTTAGAAAAAGGCATTGGCCATTTTATCTTATGTAGAATCGTGGTTGGTTACATGCAGGTTTTAAAGCCTAAAGAAATGGAAGCTCCTTTGGTGTGAACTAAATCAGACGACAGTGAATTCTTCTCAGTGGGCAGGAAGGGACCACAGCTAAGACTGCAACACGTCATGTGTGTAAACCAACCATAGAGTCATTTCTGATTAATGTGTTTAGGCTTGAAGCTCGCTGCTGAGCTTGCTGATGTCACCCCTCCTCATCTAGCTGCTTAATTGAACTTTCTAGATCTCTGTGAGGGAACCCAGACTGTCTTCTCCCCAGTGGAAAGCCAAGCCCATGCTCATGAGTCACCTTGCGTTTTCATTTAATTTGAGGCTCTCTGAGGGGGTGGGGGCTGGGGGCGGTTTGCTTTCTTTTGCTTACGTTTGTAGCTAGTTGCAGCGAGTTCTGTTTTGTCTCCTGAGAAGAATCTCGGGCTTTCCCACAGCAGGATCAGCAAGTGGTTCTCAGTCACATGCCATGCGTGGTTGTCTCCATCGCGAGGGGGCGACGGGGCACAAACAAGGCAGCTGTGAAGACGCCTTTGTGAAGGCTTAATGAGGACCCTGCAGAAGGGACCAGAGCAGTGGTGTTAGTGGGTGATGAGCTTCTCCAGCACGGTGTGAGGATGTTGTGTCTAAAAGTCACGGTAGAGACTTGGCATTCTGGGATTCCGGGCTGGAACGTAGTTAAAGCCTCTGTGGAGGTACCTTCAGCTGCTTTTGTTTCATTTTTGTCCAGGGGCTCTCTCGTGCTCACTTGGCCTCCCCTCTTTTCTACCTTCTTCCTTTACCTTGTGTGCACTGTCTCCCAGAGGTCCTTGGAAAACTGTGCAGAACTGCAGGATTCCTGTTCTTAATCCTAGCAAGTTGATTTAGTGGCTTCTATAAAGTAAAAAATGCACACTGGGAAGATCTGTCCTACTCTGAAGCTCTCTAGGAAATGATGATGTTTTTGTTTTTTGATTTTTGTTTTGGAAATAACAGAATTCGGGTAATTTCCACTGTGATTTTGAGGTTTTCATTGTAAGGACTTCTGAATCTTCCCTACCCCCAAGGGGAATACCATTCTGAAGGGATGTGTTTCTCAAAATATATCACTTTTGTCTTGGGTAGACAGATGAGGTAATATTTCTAAGTTCTAGCTTTAAAATCGAATCACTGACAGTCACTGAAACGGGGTCATGGATACATTCGGATTTGTTAAACATTTATGTGTGCTTGAAATTTTTCATGGTCAAAAGTTATTTTGAAATTGCAAAGTCTTCATTAAGAAATACTTGTCACTCCCCTCCTGGGCATATGCCAGCTTGTCCCTGGGTGTTACCAGCTCTGCAGAATGATAGTTCTTTATGGTCACTAAACTGAGTGATTTCCCTAGCTAAAGAGAATTCAGATTTCCTGTGTTTTGCCTTCTTCTTCAGACTGCCAAAAGTATTTACAAGATTGTTCATATGAATGGCCACTGCTAGATTTGGCAGCTTTTTCAGGATGACTAGACAGATAAGATTGTTAAAAGCTGAAGCGTGCTCCCCAAATCGGCTTTTACCCACATTGCATCCCCGAGTGCCTCGGAAAAATCAGAAATGGCAGACGCACGGTCGTCTCTTCACGCACACGTGAGAATGTCTCATGGTCTGGGTAGAGGTCTGGAAGGTTCTTCGTCTTAGTTGTCTCCACTTGACCAAAGTTGTTTGTGACCAGGAGAGGTTTTGCAGTAACTGTCTTGTCCAGCATTCATAAAACCAAGGGTTTGCATATGCAAGGAAAAGGAGAGAGAGAGAGAGAGAGAGAGAGAGAGAGGGAGGGGCAGGCTAATACTTAACAAAATGATTGCTCGTCACTGAACTGAATGTTTTATATATGTGATCCCATTTCTGCTCCCAGAAGCCCTGCGGGGTGGGTGGTTTTAATCTCATGAAACTCCTAAGAAAATCCAGGCTCTGATTGGTCAACAAGTGTAGTCCAAATTACTCAGCTGCTCAGTAACAGAATGGAGACTTGTACATAGGCCTCACTCTCAAATCTGTTTCCTTTCTGTTATTTTGCTCTCAATCTCTGAACACCTCCTTTAATAGCCAGTGATTTATTTCTTTTTAATGTTTATTTTTGAGAGAGAGAGCACGTGAGTGGGGGAGAGGGGCAGAGAGAGAAGGCGACAAAAGGCTCTCTGACAGCAGAGAGCCCAGTGTGGGGCTTGAACTCAGGAACCATGAGATCATGACCTGAGCCAGAGTCGGACATTCAACCGACTGAGCCATCCAGGCACCCAAATAGCCAGTGATTTACACAGAAGCAGAGTGATGGCAGACAGGCCATCAGCAGCCTCCTTCACCGTCTTCCTCAGTGGACAGCCACACGGTGCACACTGTGAAACATCACCCGTCCTAGAATTCCTTCCCCTCTCCCTTCTCGAAAAAATCCTCCCTGGGCAACGCATCGCAGCATGCTTTTCTGTGCACTATGAGTGATGCGTTAGGTCACTTCCTGTTAGCCATTTGTGTGACTCTGACCTCACAGAGGTCTCTAGCAGCCTGCAATGCTTGTCACAAACTTTCCGCCTTAACTTTCTGTGCTCATTCAATAAGCCTTCTCGTAAAGAGGACTGTATGGTGTTAGGAGCTTTGTGATTACTCTTAGGAATATTTCCTGAAGTCTTCCTTCTATAGAGCAACAGCATAACATTTAGATTTTGTTTTTAAAGTAAGAAATCCTGGGATTTTTCTGGACACTAGCTAAGAAAGAGAGATTATAAAATACACACCCTGTTATCCAGAAGGTTAATTGAAATCCACAAACATACTGGTAGTTGCTGCCTCTTTTCCCTAAGAGATTTAAATAAAACGCTTACACCTTGTTTTATGTATCTCCAAGTTATAAAATGTATCCACAATTAAGAAAATCAGAGTAACTCCCGTAAGATGCTAAACCTTAGGGGAATATTCTTGCCTTCATGTGCTATATAGTTTGCTCTCAAGTATTGATCACCAAGCCGAAAATTAACCTTCCAGGGATAAAAGTAGATATACCTACAGAATCCAAATTAAAAAAACTATTCTTGTTTATGCACAAGTTATTGTAAGTTCAGGACTGTGGAACAGCTTGCTGTCCCATGCTTAAGGTTCTTAGCTAAATTATTGCACGTAGCGGCACTTGGGTGGCTCAGTTGGTTAAGCGTTTGACTCTTGATCTCAGGGTCGTCAGTTCAAGCCCGCTTTGGGCTCCATGCTGGGTGTGAAGCCTGATGGATGGATGGATGGATGGACAGACAGACGGATGGACGGACAGACAGACAGACGTAAACAGTTGGCACATAGTAGATATTTAAAATGTGAGCTGCTATTTTCCAAGGCACATGGCAGAGTGCCTTATATATGATATAGACAACAGTTTACAAATATTTAACAAATAAATTATTAAAAATTAAAGGACTAGTATTTTGACAGTATGAAACAGGATCCCTTCAGGTGTAGTAATAAGATATATAAAGTGTGTAGTTTTTATATTTATACATTCATATGTTATATAATATTTATCCCTCTCTATATATCTGTGTATCACCTATGTAGTGTGACTTCTGGTTAAGAGAGCCAGTCAGGCATTCCCCCCCCCCCC